GTATTCCTTTATTGTAGCATTTTGTCCTACAATTAAAATTGTAAGCCTATATATGCCTGTCTTTAATCATAAACTCAGTTCTCCAGATGGAGTCATGGTTACTGCATCTCTGCAGTCCTTATAGCCTCATCCAACACATAGCCCATGGGAAATACTCTATATCTTCCTAAAGTGGGACTTTCAAAAGGCTCAGTCCAAGATCCTTGTCTCTGTTGACATAGCTGTTGACTTCATCTGGTACTATGACTTTACTATTACCAGTGTTTTCTTTCTCTGTAGCCCAAGCTTCTTTCTCAAGGTTAAATTCATATAGCCAACTGTTCTTACAGACATTGCAAACTCAGTTCAATTGAATTTCCAGCTGCTCCAGATCTGACCTCTGTGTAACTTCTCATCACTGTTGGTGGCAACTCCATCTTTCTAGCGGTTCAGGTAAGAACTTCAGAGTCATCCTGGATTCCTTTCCTTTACTTATACACCATGTATTAAGAAATGTTGTTGGCTCTCTCATTATGACATCTTCCGAACCCAACCATTTCTTATAGACTCCTCTGCTGGCCCAAGCCAGAGTCACTATTGTCCCATCTGGGTTACCACATCACTGTCTTACCTGGCCTCTCTGTGTCCCATTCTCAACACAGCAGCTAAAATGAGTCTTTAAACATAAAATCAGACCATTGGCACCCATAGTTCTCACAGCTCTACAGTAAGTTTCTAGTTTATTCAGAGTAAAATCCAAACTCCTTATACCAGTTTGTCATGTACAAAAGCACCAGGTCCCTCCTTATTTTTCCAATCTGATTATTTCATGCTTAGCACGTATTCACTGTATACTGACCAGCTTTCTTTTTTTGTTGAAATCCCTCCCTCTAAATATTAAGGACAATCCTTTTATCCTAATCAATACTGGACCTGCTTGCATGTCACAGCTCTGGATTAGACTATCTCCCTTGTTCTATCTACTTTCTCTTTTTCTAGCAGACCATATCACCCTAAGATTAGTAACTTATGTCCTCTTCTAGAATCTGGAAAGTGGCCCTCCTATGAAGAAGTGGAGTCTAGTTCCTCTCTGCACTGGAAGGAGAGAGGCCTTTTCTTTGCTCATATCCAATGCAATGTGACATCAAAGTCTAGGTCACCAACATTCTGCAATTTTTACTTTGTTTGGTAGGAGGCTCACCTTTGGAGCTCTGAGCCACCATATAAAAAGTCCACACTGGGAAGTGATGATGCATGCCTTTAATCCCAGCACTCAGGAGGCAGAGGTAAGTGGATCTCTGAGTTCAAGGCCAGCCTGGTCTACAGAGTGAGTCCCAGGACAGTTAGGGCTACACAGAGAAACCTTGTTGCAAAAAGAACAAAGAAAATAGCAAACAAAACCAAACAAACATAAGCCCAGTTGTTTTGAAAGTTGCCATTCTGCCAGGAATCTCAGACTACTCAGGAGGCTGTTTAGAGGAATTCCAGTGGAAAACCTCCACTGACACCTCAGATGATGTCTGTGCCACTTATTAGACATCAGAATAAAGACACTGTAGATGATTTCAGCCCCTAGCCATGGAGCCTTGCATTTCAAAAAAGAGATCAACTGTACCTCTTGTTCACTGTTTACATCTCTAACCCGCAGAACCAATTATTGCAATAAATCGTTTTCTGTTGCTCTTAGTTGAAGTAGTTTGTAACACAGCAGTTATTTATTTATTTTCAGCCTATGCTTAGCTTCTATTTCCCTGCTAGAATACGAGCTTCATGAGGGCATGAATTTGTTTCACTCACTATTGTATCCCAAATGCCTAGGCTAGTCCTTAGCAATAATGAATACTCAGGAAATATTTACTGAGAAAATCTGGGAGTGCTTGTGTAGTTAAGTTGGATTTTAGAAGGCACAGCTTGCTAAAGCTCAGGGTCCCTTAGATGTCAGCTTGTCAAATCTACACACTGGCATGAAAAAATAAAAGCAGAGCAGAATAGGGAGGTGACAGGCAAGGACATCACATAGCAGCCTATATGACAACAGAAATGGAGGCTCGGTTTTATGTCTACTCTGTGTCTTTAAGCAGATCTGTAATTCATGTTCAAGATGAAGATTCTGGAAATCATAGGAGCCTTTATGATAAAAGAAAAACACAGCGATGTTTCTAAGAAACTGGACAACCACATCCTACAAAGTAGCATATTTCAATTAACAATGCTTTCTAATTAACTCCAGGTTAATCATACAATGCTATTAACCAGAAGCAAGGCATGCTAGCTCACTGATTAATACAATTTGAACTAACAAGGATAAGGGTGGCTTTACTAGTGAGATTTCTGGGTGAGGTCCAAATGATGGAATAACATTGATTCTTTGTCATAAATTAAGTTTATTTCCATGCTAAAAAGTTTGGGAGATGCTGACAGGTATAAAGAAGAATTAAACCAAACCAAACCAAAGAACAAATGCTGATCATATAGGAACAGATGCTTTAGAAGAAATATGCTAGAGAGAAATGTACCAAAATAGTCAATTGTGTCAGTATTTCTGTTCTTGAATTTTGGATTGAAAGTTCACAGAACCGTTATTTTACGCTTTGACCATTTGCGTACCTTTCTGATAAACTACACACCACTATTGATGCTATTTGAAACTTCGAGACAAAGTATAATGACTAGGGGCTCATCAAACCACAATAATACTGGGCATGCCTTTACAAATAACACACCTTGTGCTGAGGTGTTTGCTCAACAAAGTGATCTGTATCCATGTGCATCAGCACACATACAAGGCTTGGGACCATTCATCCTTTTAGGAAAGAAGACCCAGAGACGATGAGAGCATTACCTGTAACTCTTGTTCCAATAGTCTTCCAAAATTGGTAGTCTTGTAACTATCCTGGCAGGAGAGGAAATATTCGAAAGAAAGATTTGTACCTTCCTGTTTGCTATGAAAATCCTGAAATGATGGGCCCCAATGAACCCCAGGCTGGGGAAAGGGAAAGTCTGAATCAGCTTTTGTGCCAACCAGAGGAGAAGCTTGCCTCTTGGAAAGATGTGCCACACAATCCTGGCAACTTAAATTGACACACACATATCTCCTGGCTTCTGTTTCGTCTTTCCTATAAATGCTGCACAACAATGCTGCACAACAATGCTGCAGAAAAGGCTTCAACCAAGAGTCTTTCTGTCCTTGGTTTGGGCAAAGTGTAAACAAATCCATTTTCCTTTATCAATCTGTGTCTTAATATTTTTTTCAAAGAAACAATGTTTTTTTTTTAAATCTAAGAGGCTCTTGTAATAGACTGAGTACACACAGAGAAATGGTACTTGACTTAGATTATATTTGAAATTAACTGCTGGTTTTCCTGAGCTGGTAATTGCATCCATTGGCATGAATATTTTTGTTCTCAAAGTATGGCAAACACACCCCTCTCCACTGTTTTATATTCCCATAAAATTTTAGGAGCATATAGTCCTAGGAGCCACTTAGGCACACTCTTCGACTAATGAAGAATTTAAAAACTGAGATAGCAAAATTATATGCCAAGATCACACAGCTTACTGCACTGGAACCCAGCTATCTTGATCCTAAGTTTAGCATGATTTCCTGTCCTCCCATGACTTCAGAAATACTACCATGTAAACGTGTTCTAGGGGTATAGTCTGAGGGATAAACTTAGTCCGGGCTGGTGTGAGACAAGGAGCCTTCACTCCACAAAGATGAACTAAATAGAACATATCTGGGTCATTGCTGCATGTAACAGAAAGGAGGAGAGAAAGAGGGAGGGGAAGAAGGAAGGCAGGGAAGGAGGGGGTGATACCCAGTGGGTATCATTTAGCACATGCTATACAGAAGATGCTGAAGAGATGTTGGACAAGGAAGAAAGGGGGAGAGGAGTGGGAGGGACAGAGGAAGATGGCTGCAACCACTGTCCCTAAGAGAACTACCACTTTTTTTTCCAGGGAGGGAGGAGATGCTCTTTGGTCTAGGAAAATAGCTTAATGGATTTTTCTTTTGTAATTTTCATTTGTAAAAGGTATTATCTGGGGCTGGAGAGATGGCTCAGTGATTAAGAGCACCAGCTGCTCTTCCAGAGGACCTGAGTTCAATTCCCAGCAACCACATGATGGTTCACAACCATCTATAAGAGAATATGATGTCCTCTTCTGGAGTGCAGAACACTCATACATAAAATATAAATAAATTCTAAAAAAAAAAGGTAGGATCTGGTAGGCAGGATTCAAAACAGAAAGGAGTTTAACAAAGACGGCAGGAGGAGAAATTGTTTTGTATTATAAAGCAAAGGGAATGCAGGAGTCATTCCTTGGATGCTGAGGGTGGTGCTTGAAGACACTAAAGGAAACTCAGGACAGAGGAGAAGATAGAGACCTGTGAGAAACTAGAACCCTAAGAGCCTTGCTAGCATGCTTCATGGTCAGGAATCTACAGGCTAATACTGTTAGATTCAGGCACTTGCCGTATTGGCTGTGGTTGTCTGTCACTCCCTAAGCTCCTGAAATAACTACAGCATGTATTCATATCTTTTGTACTAAAGGTGCTTTGGGAGTAAGGGGGTTGTGGGTGGACAGGGATGACCACTGCAGGAGGGAGGAAGAGGTAGAGAGAGGGCACAGCAGTTCTTCTTGGGGACTTGATGGAGCATGGTGAGAACAGCACAGAAAGCATGAACACTGGGCAAGAGGTGAGCAGGAAAAGGCAGGCATGCCAGACGCTATTGGTGGGGAGATGGGCTGGCTCTTCTACAGCCTGTGGGAAGAGGGCTGGAGCCATTCTACATTCAGAGTGAAGAATGGTCTGACTGTAAAATGTAGGGATTTGGAGCATGATATTTCTTAAATTTAATCTCTAGGTTCTAGTTAAAATGTAAGTTTTGATTAAGTGGGTCTGGTGGAGCATTTCCACCATGCTCCCAGGCATTGTTGCTCATGGTCAGAGGCAAGGCTTTAGCATTCCAAATGTACCCGTGAGTTATTGGGGGAATCCTCACAGGCTAGTCTCTTACCTCGTATTCCTCCTTGAACCCGTAGCCCTGGCCTCGCTTCATCTGGGTGATGTGCTGAAGCAGGTCTGCCACTCGGATGGCCGGCTGGAACTGGTCCCGGGGGTAGCTCATCTCTACAGGGTCACAGGTCCGGTAGGGGTGAGTCTGAATGGTGAGGGTGGGCTGGGACAGCTCCCCACGACTGCCATCTGCTTCAAAGAAAAAGAAGCAGGACAAACCTCACTTGGGGAGTTTTGTTCTTTGCACCCCATCCCCACTCCCAGCGTGGTCTGAGGAGGGCAGAGGGACTGAACTGCACTCTACTGGCCAGGAAATTATAGAAAGACAAAGGACAGTGCTTCCCTGGCTTGGCCGTGTGCACAGATTTAAATGGTGAAATAACAAACCAATGCACATGGATGATCCTTGGTTCATTTCAATTTCAAGGGCTCATCGATTGTGTGAAGACAAAGTGACAGTTTAGTGATTATCCCTTGCCTGTCCTCAGCCCTTTCTCTGGACTTGTTGAGTGCCTTGGTCAATACCAGCCAATCCCAGAAGTAGTAAGAAGCCAGGCTGACTAAAGCTTGGAAGACCCTTCTTGTTTGGGAAGCTGTGGGCCTAATGTAATAGAAGGTGTAGGCTTGTTGCTTGTGTGCAGATGAGGAGAGTCTCAGGTGCCTGGCCAGAAGATCTATGCGACTGCTTCTGGGCTAGCATGTCTGCAATGTGATTTCTCTCCTAGTTGGTTTCCTTTGGGTTGCACACCAGGAGGAAGTTTAGCTAGTCTTGGACTCCCAGTAGGCAGCAGGGACTCCAACTCTCCAGCTACTCTCTGCAGCAATGGGCTCTGTAACAGAGGCCACTTCCTTCCTGTCCTCTATTCTCTGCCTTACTACCACTGACCCTGAAATGTCCCTGATCCCAACTTGCAGATTTCTCTAAATGTCTTCCTTTATCTCACCAGCCACGACTCTCATGGGCATCCTCTGCCACACCCCTTGATATGGCAGTGGGGATATACCTCAGTTGGTAGTGTTCACCTAGCGTGCTCACAGCCCTGAATTTGGTCCCCAGCACCACATAATACTTGGTTTGCATGGGCTTGTCATCCTAGATATCCAAATGGGGAGACAGGAGGATCAGAAGTTCAGTCACCCTCAACTGAATAGTAAGTTTGAAGCCAGACTTGACCACATGAGACCTTCTCTATCTTAAAAAAAGAAAAAGTTATAGCTTCCACTCATAAAAATATCTCTACATATTGAGTTGCTTTCAATACCTTCCGTTGTTTGGTCACTTTGGAAACAGTTTTTCTTTCCCAGCATCATCTTGGCTTGGTGTGTTCACATCTTCTCAAATACTCTGACAGTCTCTGCCCTGGGGCCATTTTGTTCGTACCATACAAGGGATAAGACCTGACAGATGTGGCAGTTGATGTGCATATCCAGATGTTCTCAGATACTGAGGCTCCCATGCAAACATCCAGGAAGCCTGTTCCATGTGCATTCCCTGAGAGGCTTAGTATATATTCCAGATTTTTTTGCAGCTTCTCTTTTTAAAAGCCATGTCCCCTCCAGCTTGTTTGTCCTCCCTGTCACAATAACCCATCAGACAGGCTCTCTGGGAAAGCACAATCCACTCCTATATGACAACATCAAAATTAGTTCCTCACAAGACAGGATACTGGAGAGACATGTCTGGCCTGCAGGATGACCAACTGATCACACTTACCTAACCTCTCTTTGGTTTTAGTATTCAAAGTATAATATCCAGGGAAACCTATTCATTCTGGGACAATCAGAGTCTTGGCTACCCTCATGTGCTCATCTGTGTCATGAATGAGTCAGGGTCACATTCTTCACTTTCCATCCTTCTGTCTGTTATCATTCCCAGGGGAGACAAAGCTATGGATTTGATTAGCCTGAGCTTGAGACACTGATTGGACCATTCCTCATCAGGAGCTGAAGTATCTGTGTCTCCTATGGCTTCAGCATTTCCTGCTTCAATGCAATGAGTAGACAAGAGCTGGCCTTTGGGAATTAGCCTAACCACCCAACAGACAGATATCGATGATACAAATTCATACACAGTAAAGAAGGGCTGAAGTGAGATGTTTAAAAATCTTCCTGGATGCACTGAGAATAATACTTCCTACTTTTTCTCCCATGGTTTGGTAATAGGTTGATACATCTTTACCAGCATTGATTGAATGTAATTCCTGGCACATATTGGGGTTGTGTCCCTACTACGTCATACCCTTGTAATCATGAGTTTGACTTATGAAAGTCAACTCAGTGCCAAGGATTTCTTAGACAGTGGCAATGTAGAAAGAAATAGAGTCCACACTCAAAGCTTGATGGTCTAGAAGGGAAAATATAAGAGCCATCTGAAGCAAAAAGATCAGAGCCTGAGAGATAAAGACATGTTTAAGAGCAGACAGGCAGGCATAAATAAAAACTATGGGACAGTGCTGTGGCAGATGATGGCAGGCAGATCCAGAAAGTCTGAGAATGCAAGGACTCTTAAAACCAGTGTGAAGCCATTGAGGGTTCTGCAGAAGAACCCTGTTTTTTTAAAGACTCACACTCTTTCCCATAGGTGTCCCAGCTGTCAGGCATTGGAAGCATTCTTCCAGTAAATATAGCTCCTGCAATGGTGTGAAGGGATTGGAGATGGAGGTGACATCAAATCAAACCCTAGAACCCTTATTTCCCACTTAAACACAATCATGTGGACACCACCACAGAGATATGCCATGCTGCTGTGGGATGTCCTGTATGCTGTGAATATATGTTGCTATGATTGATTGATAAATAAAATGCTGATTGGCCAGTAGCCAAGCAGGAAGTATAGGCGGGACAAAGAGAGAGGAGAATTCTGGGAAGTGGAAGGCTGAGGCAGAGAGATGCTGCTAGCCGCCACAATGAGAAGCAGATGTTAAGATACCGGTAAGCCATGAGCCACATGGCAACTTATAGATTAATAGAAATGGGTTAATTTAAGATATAAGAACAGATAGCAAGAAGCCTGCCACGGCCATACAGTTTATAAGTAATATAAATCTCTGTGTGTTTAATTGAGCCTGAGCAGCTACAGGAGCCAGGTGGACACAGGAGTACTCCAGTTACACCCTGCCCCCAACTTTTCTAAAGGACCCAGGGTGCAAGCTGCATGGGAAACCAGCTGCCTGGCAGGGGCAGGCTTCCTAGGAGTTGGCACCTGGCAAATTTTTGTGAGACGCCAAACATTTCCAAACTGAAAAGGCTATCAATATGGATATTTCCCCCTAAACACATTGCTAGACAGACTGTAAACTTAGTGTCAGCAAAACCAACAGTGGAGTGGAAAATGAATGCATTTGAAATTTAACAACTTGTATTGCTGTAACATTTGTGATAATGCCGATGCCAGCGCTAATGATGCCATGAGGACTTGGAACCAAGGGATTTTCAAGGTTTATTAATTCAACTAGTTGGACTCCCTTTTCCAATGTATCTTACCTCACCTATTCCCTTATTAACCTTCGATAATGCAGAAGTGATGCCTTTTATCGCACCCCATTTCGCCAGATGCACTATGCTTAATTTTCCGTCATTAGGTTTAATGAAAACCCAATTTCACAACTCACTTCTCTCAGGAACCTACAAGTAATGCTACGTTTTTTATCAGCACCAATTAAAAAGCGTTATGATGTTCCTATTCAAGAGGGAGCCTTAAAACTAATGTGCGAGTCTGCCGCAAATTCAACAAGGGCGCTAGAATTCACACGCTGCCCATAAAATGTAACTCAAACCAGCTGGCCCAGGGAGAGGCCATTTTTCATTCTCCCTCCTCATCAGACCTTTAATTTTCATATTTCCCATTTATAGGTCTTGCATGTTTATGCATCATGTAATAATATTTGGGGTTTCTTTTGCACTCCTTATGTAGCTGCTAGCGGAGCCTGTGAATTGTCCTTTGAGAATTCTCATCCCTGTCTGCAGGGAGCTTGTGGGGTAGGTTCAAGGGTTTGGGTCACACTGACAAGATTTCAGGTTGACAGTTATCTGTCTCTCTGATTTCCTCTCTTCTGTCTTTCTGCAGCTCTTCTTCCTTTCTCCATAGGATCCTGGCACACTCCCTCCCTCTAGCCCCCCTAAAGTCTACGTCCGACTCCCAGATCTCCCTGTAGCTTCACTCACTAGATCAACAGCGCCACTTCAGCGGGCTAACAACTGCTTCCTGTGTACCTGTCTCACACAAAGTGCCATGTTAGCTACACATACACATAGCAGAGGGGGCAGGAAGGTGTGCTGCAGCAGAGATAAACACACCAGAGCCCTTTCAGGAAGAGGGATGAAGAGATAAGTTGTACACAAACAGGCCTAACAAAGCTAAGCAGGGCCACGTACCCAGGAGACAGCAGATTATGTGCTGCAGGGTTAGGTGCCATGGAAACCTGCCATATCTTTCACATTTCATCTTGGTGCCTCTTGCCATCTCTATGTATAATCTATGTTGGTACTGCCTGGTAGAACTTTCTGTGACAATGGCAATGTTTTCCCTCTGTGACTTGCAGTATGGTAGCCATTAACTACACGTGGCTACAGAGCGACAAAACTGTGGCTAATGTGACGGAGGAATTGAATTTTAAATTTTGTTTAGTTTCACTGGAAGCACCCTCATGTGGGGCCTCAGGAGATGATGGCTCACTCAGTAAAGTGCTTGCCAAACAAGCACGGGGTTCTAAGTTTGATCCCCCATGAATCCATGTAAAAAAGCCAGGTAGGCAAGGTGCCATACATATGGAATCCCAGGGCTGGGGAGGCAGAGATGGCTGGAGCATGCTGGCCAGCTGGTCTGGCCAAATAAGCAACCTCCAGGTTCAATGAGAAATCTTGTCTTAAAGAATATGGTGGAAATGTTAGAGTAAGATATCCAATGTCTACCTCTAGCCTCCAACATGCACACACACATACCCACACACACTCATGCATTAACAGACACACAGGAACACATTTACTCACATGCACAAAGAAATACTCATATGTGGCATATGGGTACCTATTAGGCAGCAAAAATCTAGAGAAAGACAGGAAAGGATTTCACTTTGGAGTCACAAAGGAGAGTGAAGGGATCTATGGTAGACTGTCCAAGACTGTCCAGAGGAAATACTATGCAAGCCATGGATATAATTAAAAATGTTCTTGAGGCAACATTAAATAAGATT